CATATTTCTTATTCTGGAATTTTTAACAATTTTTTTTGGTGTCATATGTCTCTGCAATTTTTTTCAATCTTTTTTTTTTTTTTTTTTAGACAGGGTTTCTCCGTGTACCCATGGCTGTCCTGGAACTCACTCTGTAGACCAAGCTGGCTTCAAACTCAGAAATCTGCCTGCCTCTGCCTCCCAAGTGCTGGGATTAAAGGCATGCACCACTACTGCCCGGCTTTTTCAATATTTTTAAAAATTAGTTTTTGAAACATTCACAAATGTATGTAATGCATACTGACCACTCTTACCCCCACTATCTTCTATCTTCCTGTTACCTATTTATATCCCTTTCTTCATCAAATCTTGCCCCCATCCCCTCTTTCAACACAAGGTTTCTCTGTGTAGCCCTGGCTGCCCTGGAACTCAGAGATCTGCCTGCCTCTGCTCCTGAGTGCTGGGATTAAAGGCATGCACCATGATACTTCAATAAGATTCTGTAATTCGGGCTGGTGAGATGGCTCAGTGGTTAAGAGCACTGACTGCACTTCCAGAGGTAACGAGTTCAAATCCCAGCAACCACATGGTGGCTAACAACCATCTGCAATGATATCTGATGCTCTCTTGTGGTGTGTCTGAAGACAGCTACAGTGTACTTACATATAATTAATAAATAAATAATTAAAAAAAAAGATTCTGTAATTCTTAAAAAGCTTGCTTGGGGCCGGGTGGTGGTGGCACACGCCTTTAATCCCAGCACTTGGGAGGCAGAGACAGGTGGATTTCTGAGTTCGAGGCCAGCCTGGTCTACAGAGTGAGTTCAGGACAGCAGGACAGCCAGGACTATACAGAGAAACCCTGTCTCGAAAAACCAAAAAAAAAAAAAAAAAAAAGCTTGCTTGGAGTTAAGGAGGTGGCTCAGAGGTTAAGAGCACTGGCTTCCTTCCCAGAGGTTCTAAGTTCAATTCCTAGCAACCACATGATTGTTCACAACCATTTGTAATGGGGTCTGATGCCCTCTTCTGGTGTGTCTGAAGAGAGCGACAGTGTAGTTGCATGCATAAATGAATAAATCTTTCAAAAAAAAAAAGGCTTGGCATAAAACATAGTTTATGCTAGACTTTTTGAACCCACATGTCTGCCTTTATCTCTAATTCCCTGGCCCTTCCTCCTCAGGTACCTGCTGCTGAAAAACAACCAGCTGGTCCAGATCACTGACCTACTGAGTTTAACCAGAGCTATAAGTTTGGAGCCTAGTGAGTTACTGAAGACAGTCTCCACTCCCCACCCCCTCTCAGAGTTACCAACAGCCAACAGTTCAGCAGCAGCAGGTCAGGGCCTCAAGAGTGCCTTCTCCATCTATGACTGATTTTTTCAAGGCCAGTCCTGTATTAGCAGTTGATGAAAATGAATGATCTCAATAGTTGTGTTGACTCTAGAGGGTGGTACTTCGCATCCCTCCGCACTGTCTTCCAGTTCTTACACACTTTCTGCCCCTCTTCTAAAATGTTTCCTGACGTCTAGAGAAGGTCATGTGACATGTCTTGTTTTTAGGGCTAAACACTAATGGTTGACTATTCTCAGGATCATGTATAGCCTGATCTCTGCATTCAAGCATTCACTGTCATTAAGGGGTACAAAGTGACCTAAATCTCCTTCTGATTCTACTCCAAAAGTGAGTTACTGCTGCAGTTTGGGGCTCCAGTTTTTAGGAAAATATCTCAAAAATGGTTGGTGCTAGCTCTTTTCACCCACTCTCTTCTCATGATTTTCTTTCTTCCCCCTTTCCCCCCTTCCTGCTTCCCCGATCCCCTCCTCCTCCATTTTCTTTTCCTCTTCTTCCTCATCCCTCTTCTTCTGCCCCCTCCTTTCCCTCCTTCTTTTAGAGGCAGGACTCATGTACAGGAAACTGACCTCAGATTCACTAAGATGACCTTGAGAATGACCTTGATCCTCATGCTTCCACAGCTACACAGTGAGACCTTAAGGGTGACGGGGAAGTTATGGATACATCCAATTTATGGGGTGCGGGGAGTCAAACTCAGGGTTTTGTGCATGCTAGGCAAGCATTCTAACCAAGCCACATCCCCACTTCTTCAAATGTTTCTTTCCTGCCCTGGATCTCCTGGAACTGGATTACGGGTGGTTTGTGAGCAGCCATGTAGGTGCTGACAGTGTTAACACACTAAGTCCAGTGGTCAGTTCCTTACTACGGCATTCACTCCCCCAGATACACTAGCTTAATTTAGCTCTCGGCCACCTCACTCCTTAAATGGCTGTTCCTGAGACTCTGTTCCTTGCTCACCTACCATAATTTGCATCATACTCAGGGCTTCAATTCTGATTCTCCTCTGATTACACTTCCTCCCTTCTACAAACATATCTAGATTGTAAAAACTGGGCTTCAATGGCACCCAAGAATTCGGATAACTCCTGTGCATCTCTAGCATGAAATATTTTCCTTTACCCATACCCTCATGTACACAATCACCTACTCAAGATTGCCTTGACAGCTGGATATGGTGGTATACAGATGCAATCCCAGCACTTGGGAGTAGAGGCAGGAGGATTGGAAGTTCAAGGCCAGCTTGGCCTATATGCAACCTTGATTAAAAAAAAAAAAATCAAACCAAAACCCCAAACCCAGACTCCACTTGAATTCCAAATACATGCTTAAATGTAAGATGAGCAAATAAACTCTTGATTTTTTTCCTTCTAGCCAACTGTCTGTAGTTTTTCTCTACCCCTCACTATCTCATTACCCCTAAGGTCCCGCTATGTAGCATTGGCTGGCATGAAACTGGCTATATAAACCAGGCGGGTCTCGAACTCATATAGCTCTGTCTGCCACTACCTCACCTGGCCTTGACCAGTTTTACAGTTTGATGATGATGATGATGATGATGATGATGATGATATAGGATTTCCAAATTGCCCAGGCTGCTTGGGCTGAGGCTGGTCTTGAATTCTTGATCGTTTTACATCTCCCACGTACTATGATTATGGGCATATGTCACCACAACTAGCTCTTACCAGACTTTCAATAGTGTGTTTATTATTTATTGCCTGACTTCCCATCTCTAAAATGTAATATCCATAAAGGTAGGATTCTGCCTGCTTTGTCTTTTTGTGTATACAGAAAAAAAATTGAACAGTGTCTGGGTGCTAAGAAAATACTTATTGAGGGTTGGAGAGATTGCTCCATGGTTAAGAGGGCTTCCTGCTGTTTCAGAGAACTCTGAGTTTGGTTCCCAGCACCCAAGTTGGGCAGCTTAAAACCAACGGAAATTCCAGCCCCAGATGTTCTGAAGCCCTCTTTGGCTTTATGAGCAATCACACACATATGGCAGACATACACATATAAATAATAAAATCTTACAGAATTAAACGAAACCAGTAGGCTCCATCCTTTTCCCCCTTTCTCTCTTCCTTCCCTTCCTTCTTCTGTCTGTTTTAAGTAGCCCAGGTTTGGCCCTGAACACCTGATCCTGCTTATATCTCCCAAGTGCTGGAATTACAGGCACGACTCACCATGCCCAGCTCATAGCTATTTACCTTGATCTTAGAAATCACTTCAGGGCTGGAGAAATGGCTCAGTGGTTAGGAGCACAGACTGCTCTTCCAGAAGTCCTGAGTTCAATTCCCAGCAACCACATGGTGGCTCACAACCATCTGTAATGACATCTGGTGCCTTCTTCTAGTGTGTCTGAAGAGAGTAATGGTGGTGTACTCATATGCATAAAATAAATAAATAAATCTTTAAAAAGAAAAAAAGAAATCACTTCAGTCATTTAATTAAAATTGAAAGTCAGTGGCTAATGCATTTATTTCCAAGTAACAAAATATTATTTAAGTTAAAAACCCGTCTCCAGGCCAGTCAGTGGTGGCGCACGCCTTTAATCCCAGCACTTGGGAGGCAGAGGCAGGCAAATTTCTGGGTTCGAGGCCAGCCTGGTCTACAGAATGAGTTCCAGGACAGCCAGGGCTACACAGAGAAACCCTGTCTCGAAAAAAACACCAAAAAAACAAAACAAAACAAAACAAAACCCGTCTCCAGAAACTGAAAGCACTAGAAACATAAACTTAGTGGGTGTTACGTGAAAGTATGGTATAAGGCCAAAAAAATGAAGTAGAACCTGCATCTCCCCGCATTGAAGTCACTCAGATCAATGGCTATCCTCCTTTTAGGGTGGCTCTTTCCCCCTTATTTGGCCGCCAGTGTCAAAAGAAGGAAGCAATGCCTTGAGCTATATAGCTTTAACTGAGTTGCTCTGCTACGTCCTAGAAGGTCTCCTGCCTTTAGAACTGTATTTATTCAGCATTTAGTTAGTTAGTTAGTTAGTTAACCTTTGAATCATGATTCTGTGGTAGAAGCAAGAAAACTCTGAAGCTGTTTGGCAACCAATGCAAACTTCAAAGAGTCGAAATTGTAAAAAAAGAAAAGAAGAAAGAAAATTAAAGAAAAGAAAATTGAAGGTATGAAAGCGGCGAAGTGTCTGGAAGGCCACGCAGAACTGAGTGGGAAGGAGTCCCTTCCTCCCCTAGATACCGGTGGTCGCGTCTCCCGAGCGACTCCTTTCCCTGTTAAGGATCTATGCGTTGGTCGCCTAGGGAGCAGCTCCAAGCATCCGCAGAATTTCGGTGCAATCCGCTCGCACAGGTCCTGACTCGAAACGGAGTCCAGGGCGCGGACAGCGGGGCTCCGCGCCTGGAGCCGCATGCCTGTAACGGCGAAGTGGGCGCTCCACCGAGCCCACGGTTTGCGCACCCCGGTGCTGCTCGCGCCCGCCTCGGCCGCACCCCTCCCCCGTCCGCGCCTCCCCTTTAAGCATCCAGGCGCAGGCGGATTTGTGTCGGCGGACGCGAGGCTCGACTCCCCTTTATGGCGGAGTCCCGCGCCCGCGCCTTGACAACCGCCGCGGCTGGCGGTGGGGGTGGGGTTGTGCGCGCAGAGCCGGCCTCCGCCACCCTCGCCTCAGCGCGGTCCCGGGTGCGCGCGCCGGGGGCGGGCCGGGGGCGGGCCGGCGGGGCAGGGGCGGGGAGGCCGGCGAGCGGCCGCGCTCGGGTCCGCCTCCGACTGCGGCGCGGCGGGGCGATGTGAGTGCCATGGCGAGGAGTCTCTGCGCGGGGGCCTGGCTGAGGAAACCCCATTATCTCCAGGTAGGCCAGCCGCGGCCCCGCCATGCGCCCTCCGCTCCGCGCCACGCGGGACTCCGTAAGTGCCCCGCCGCCTCCTGCGGACCGGCATCTGGCGGCGCGCCCTCCCCAGCCCCGGTCCGCCCTGCGTCCCGCTCCCCGCTCCCCGTTCCCCGGGCGCCGCCCCAGCCCTGTGCCCCTCTGAGTCCCGGCCCCGGGCGCCGCGGTCCCTTCTCTGCGTGCTCTCCCGCCTTCCCCAAGGGCCCCCCTCGACCTGCCATTCCTGACTCTGTCTGGAGTAGGAAAGGGTGGTGTGTCATTCCTCCATGTTCCACAGAATCGTGACCGATTGTCATACCGGTGGTTCCCCAAGTCCCAGCCAGCGGCTGTGCGTCGTGCGGATCCCCTGGGTTTGGTGTTCGCATCGCATCTCTGGTTTATATGGGAGGGAGGAATCGGCCAGCCCGGTCGAGGCGATGGACGTTCGCTTTGCAAAAAGGGGATGGTGACTGTTGTGCGGCTGTCCACCCAGCCCGCCAGCAATGAGAACGCAATTCTTAGTCACGTCGTGTGTACTGTTGGCGTGTTAATTTTTCATGATTTTTCTGTTCCGCTGTCAGTAGGCTTTAGAACCCTCCTGTTGCCTTCGTGCACTGTTCGGTCACCAGGGGGACCTAGTAGACGTCGTGAGTAGCTGAGCACAAATCCATAGCTCAGATGGAAAAACAACTACAAATCAATTCCTCACACATTTGACAGTATTGTTATATGTCTCCAGAGGACAATGCTTACATTAAAAGACCTGACGACATGGGATGGGTATTAGGTCAGATGATGGTGTGCTTCTTACGAGTATGGAAAAAAAGTTGAGGAGAAACCATTACAGTCCAATTAAATCTTACATTTTATTTTGAAATTTGCATGTGTAAATCATTACACTGAAACAAGTGATACCCGGATTGAGAGGCTGATTTGACAACTCATGGTTTTAAGGGTGTAAGACTGAATGTTTATAGTAGCACCACCAGAAATAGTTGTTCCTTGAATACTAGTATTAGAACCCAGTCTGGCATTCCACTCCGCCAGGTTAAAGTATGTTGGCATATTTAAAATCTTTGAACTTAAACGACTTAGCTTTCTATTACTAATTTTTTAGGGTTGGTAGAGTTTTAGGCTTTAGTTTTGGCTCTAATGTTTTCCACAGATGTGAACGTAATCTTCGGTGCTGTAACTGTATAAGGGTTTTCTGATTTGGTTAAGGTTAGAACTTAAGAGTTCTGTGTTCAATCCCCAGCACTACACACACACAAAAATAGTTTTTACAAATAGTCATGCTTATGTTGATGACAAAACTCTTAGCGTGTTTCTTAAAGCATGTTTCTTACTTTCTGAATTTGCATCGTTATCAGTGATCAAATTAGGGTAAGCTTGCTAGTGGACTAAGATTATTAAATTTTTAGAATGTTTAAAATTATTAAAATACCAGCATTTGGGAGACAGGTCTCTCAATTAGAGGCCAGCTTAGTCTACATAACAAGTTAGAGATTAGTGACAGCTACATAGAGAAATTTTGTCTCAAAATTTTTAAAGGTAAATTTAACACTTATTTTAAAAGACAAGTTCTCATGTGACCCAGATTGACTTAGAACTAGTGAGGCAGCTAAGGATAAACTTGCCTTTCTGATTCTCTTGCTCTTAAGAGTTTGCAATTGCAAGGGTATGCATGAATGGCACAAGTCAGAGCCCAGTGTTGTTCCTGAGGAGCCTCCTCCCTGGCTCTTAGAGACAGGGTCTCCAGTACAGCTCCCCAAATAGGCCAGGGAGTCCAGGAGTCCCCTTGTCTCTGTTTATCCAGGTCTGGGATTGTAAGGATATGCAACTCTGGACATCAAGTGCTTGGAGAGCAAGCCCTTTACAGACTGAGCTAACTCTGTAGTCTGTTTTTTTTTTTTCTTTACTTCTTCAAAGTTATACATCATGCTTAGCATTGACTTAGTATTAGCTAAATTTGATTTGTCATGGAGAGGGTTTCTTGTGTGTACTCTTTTAGCAAAAGAAAATAAAAAAAACTTTCCCTTTAACAGCTTGTATATGTTAGAAAACACACACACACACACACACATACACACACTTACTTTTTGAGACCAAGTCTCAGCACAGGCTGGCCTTCCTGTTTCTACCTCCCAGGTACAGGATTTACAAGTGTGCCCACTATACTTCGCTTCAGGGAAACTAGTTCTTTGGTTTGGTTTGGTTTGGTTTGGTTTGGTTTGGTTTGGTTTGGTTTGGTTTGGTTT